ACATAGTGAACAGATTAATGCATCATTTTTTTTCTACAGGAAAACTGAAGAGTTTAATAGCAAACCCTCCAAGGTCAAAATGAATACAGGTATGCTGTCTCTGTTAGTTTTAAACTCTTTAGCCTTCCTCTTTAAAAATCATCTTGGCCCCAAATCATTAAGTTTGGTACTCTGCTGATCTGATTAGTCTAAGTTCATTACTTAATTTCTTTGTCTTTGTACTTCAGTCCTATGGCTATCAAATGTAGAATTTTCTGTTTTGCTATCTTCTCTTACTCCCTTTTTCCATTACCATATCTTGAAATTAACTCCTACACGCCCCAGGAAAAAGTAGTGTGTCATTTGATGCATACATTTGAAATTTCTCACTTAAAATAGGCTAAATTCATAGGCAAATTGCTCTAGTGGAAAATATTTAAAATTCCCCTTTCTATAAACACTTTATGTTAACAATGTTAACAGATAGAGTACCAAAGCTTCATGTGAGATCAGCTTCATTAATCTAGACATGATACACATAAAGTCATAAGCATTATATTTTATGAATGAAAACAGTGTCCCCAACTACCTTTACCAACATTGAGGTCTCTGAACTCTGTATTATATACAATTAATTGTAACAGTGTTTGGGACACATGCTAGGTACATATGAATTTTTTTTTTCCATAGTAGAAATATTTTAACATATTTTCAGCTTTCCTCCCTGTAATTGTTATATTCTCTATCAAGTAATTCTGTAAAATAACTTTCCCACTGAAATTCTGTAACCTATGTTCTAAAAAATGCTATTTCCTGTCCACGAGTGATGACTGGAAAGTTGTTTCAGCCAGTTAACTCCAATGCAAAGGAGAAAAGGTAGTTCAAGACCTTTTCTCACACCAAGCTGCCTGCCTTTATGCTGTTGCTTATTATTAGCAAAATGCCCTAAGGGAGGGTTAACAATCATTGGTGGGAACCAATATACGTAATCCCTAGATCAAGTGTAGAGACATAGTCACTTGTCTTTGTCCATGAGTTTGTGGCTATCCCTTAGCAGAAACCTACAGCAGTTGACATCAGCTGGCCCTGAAAATGCAGTTATAAATGTGGAGAGCCACAGGCAAGATGAGGATATTGGACATAATAAAATATATAAGGAAGGCTTAGAAATCAAGAGAAATGATAGCCCTAGAAATGGACCAAGTAAAGGCACTGGGACAATTGGAAATGTGGCAGGTAGACACTGGAAATGAAAGCAGAAATACTAGTAGGCAAAGGGATTGAAGAAAGCAAAAAGAATAGAGAGGAACAGGTGAACAGGAGAAGTCATGGTGTAAAGTCACTCCAGCAGAATGACCACAGCAGGAAATTATATTTGCTGATTGTTCTCAGGCATCTTCCCACAGATGTATGCTGAGGCTAACTTCCCAGGATCCTTCGTTTTGTGGAGCGCTGATTTGCCTTTATATTATAATGCTGTTAATGACAGAGGTATAATATGTGATTATACGAAATATGCTGTATTCATTACAATGCATTCAATAATTAATCTTCCTTGTCATAGAATGCAATCTCTAATAGCAAAGGAGGCAAAAGGAAATTTGTACATTTGCTTAGGTCCCTGCGGTACTTGAGCCAAATTACTGCTCCAGCAGCATGAATGTAATTCTCGAAAACATGCTCTCATTAAAAGAAGTAAGCTCAGCTCTATATGGAATGCGAATTTGCATAGTTATTTTGCTTATCTGGGTGAATTTACACACGTATATGTATATAAAATATGATATTCAAACATATGCATACAAAGTCGATTAGAAGTGACTGGAACCTTTTGTTTAAAACTCCAAAGTAACACTATAATGTTGCTATAAAAACATACCACTTTAAAATATATACATATAAATATTGCTGTAGGAAGTTGAAGAAAGCATTGCTGCTCTATCTACAAAATGAAGTAAAAATTAGTTCCTAAATATCTGTACATAAAATTGGTCTTGGTTATCTACTTATCAATCATTGAAGAGATATATTACTATTTCAATGTCCATGCATCAGTCACTAAAAGGTTTTGAAAAAATATTAAGTTAGCTTTTTCATTTTTAGTCAAATGCATTATAGAAGAGCCAAAGAAATGGAATTCATTTTTCATAGAAAAATACCTAAACAATGCATAGAAATATACAAAACATGCTGTATTTCCACTCTTAGAATTTGTGAACCATTGTTTTCTAAGGAAAATCTTGGCTCTTAAAGAAAGGAAGGAGAGAAAGGCATCAAATAATGCATAGTGTGTGATTTACCCATGAGTGTTTCCCAGCAGTTGGAAACGGCTCCTAGGAGGCCTACAGCGGGATGCAAAAGTGGACCACTTTGCAGGCTGGGAATGAGTGTGAAGGTGAGAACAGCATCATGATTCTTTAGAATGACCTCCAGTGTGCAATACAGTATCCTCATTTTGAGATCTGAAAAAAAATGTACCTTCAAGGAATAGCAGAAATTATCAACACATAAGTAAGTAGAAACAGAATAGAATAGATTGCTCTCTCCTAGCAATTTCACAAACGTCTCAACTTTTTGAGGGGAGCTCTGTATTAAACTGTTAATAAAAAATGATGCCCCATTCATTTTATGTAGGTCTGAGAATGGCTTAGAATACAGAAATTGTTTAACACAGAGATTCCTACCCTTCTCGTTTTACAGAGCCAAGATATCTTAGTAATTTTTAGCCATACTCTCAAGCCAAAAGAAATACCTAACTGTTCTATTTATTAATTAGTAGGGGCAGACAACTTAATAAGTACTTATGTTCTACCAACTGAGAAGGAATTTGAAAAAAATAATATACTCTAATAAAAAAACAATCATTTTATTTTATTCTTTATAACCATAGTTGCCTACTAACGGGATGTGTTTGTTTGTTGGACATACCGAAACATCTCAGATCATGGAATTTGAGCCTACGTTGCCCCTCTCTTCTACTGGTCCAAAATTATTTTCAGAGGGTACTTCGCTCTTTGCCACAGTGGTCACCCAAACCCAGCTTTTCAAAGATGTGATATCATGTCAAGGAAGACAATACAATCTATTACACTGAAATGGGAACAAGCTCAGGCTAGTGGTTCATACAGCGTCTGATAGGTATTACTGTGCTCTTGTCAAGGACATAAAACAGCCTTCCCAAACCCTTGTGAATCTCCTGATGGGGCCCAGGGTGCCTCCGTGCAATTTTGGAACAATGTGTTTAACCAGTGACTCTGAATCTCCTCATTGTGGAATGTTTCTTCCTCATTCCTGCTGGTTTTCAGATGTTCGGAGTTAAAAGAACTAGAAAATGAAATTTCTTAGAGGTCAGTTTCCACTTCCAACAGCCTTGACTACCCAGTCCTCTTAGACCATTGATAGCTGCTATCCACAATATCTTTACTGACAGCACCTTTATCTGCAACACTCCTCCCTTGTAGCTATTTTTTTTGTTTTTGCAGTTTGATAAAATCCTGTTGGTGCCTCTCATGAAGATATCTTTAGTATTGTATGTTTCTACCATTTCTGCCTTTCTGTGTTTGATCTTTGATTTATTTGACTTCACGTCTGTTGCTCTAAATCATTTTTCTGTATTCGTTATTGTCCTCAGTAGGAAACTGTTAAACACATATTTAAGAAATTATATTCTGATACCAGAATCACTCTACCAGTTTTAAGTTCTACTGACCTTACGGCTTGTGATTTGACCAATAATTAATTCAAATCGCACCTCCATGCACTCTTAAATTCCCTCACTTCCAATAAACAAAGTGGTTACTTTCCTTTCAGAAATAAAGAAAAAGGGGGAAAATGAGAATACCATGTGGCAATATATAATGATCATGTTATCATATTGGTGGTTCTATTATTTGTTTTTCTTGTTCTGACTTTCAAAAGAATTCAATTTCAGTTGTTTTCATTCTGAGGGAATGAGCAAAACTATTTATTGCACATTCCGTATACAAAGGAATGTAGGAATGAAATTGGAATCTGTTCATAAATAGAACATGAACCTTCTAATTTTAGAAGACTAAACTCCTCACATCACATTGAAATAGCTGATGCCTTTTCACTTATTTTATTTCACATTGCGATTTGCATAAAGTTTAAGTATATAGATCCTCACATACATAGTATTTCAAAGTATAAAAACAATATAATTTTTTAAACATTGGTCCTTTCGATACTGTATATATCAATATTACCTTTGATTCCAAATAGGCTAATTATTTCAATAATAATAACTATGAGAAAATGGAGAATTTCTGTAATAATAGATGTTTCTTTATGAATCCTATATATCAAATATACCATGCTGTATAGGTTAATAACTTTTACTTTAAGAAGTGATTTCAGGGGCGCCTGTGTGGCTCAATGGGTTAAGCCTCTGCCTTCAGCTCAGGTCATGATCTCAGGGTCCTGGGATCAAGCCCCGCATTGGGCTCTCTGCTCAGCAGGGAGCCTGCTTCTCCCTCTCTCTGCCAGCCTCTCTGTCTACTCTCTGTCTCTCTCAAATAAATAAATAAAATATTTTTTTTTTAAAAAGTGATTTCAGCTACCTTTAGGAATCATAAGTAGTTAAAATACAGTAAAACCCAAATGATGGATACAAAATATGTTACCCCATAGCTCGCAACACTGAGTCAAGACAGGTTGTCCCTAACCCTAAAAGCTACTCGCACCGCTTATAAATTTAATAGTAATTGAATTTCAATGGTATAAACAAAGCTGAGTTCTATATTTGTGTTTTCATTAAAGAAAACCTATAACATCTTAAGTATAAAATACAAGCATCTATTTGTAAGACAGACCCCTGGTTTTCTGTTCCATTCCATTTGTTTTAGTTTGGGGCGGGTGTGAAATTTTCAGATGTCTTCCATGGTTACTAATCCCGACTGTCTGTCTTCCTCCTGGATGTCTGGCACCTTCCACTTGAAATGCATGACCGTGCATGTGCTTTCTCCTTTGCTGTGGCCTCTGCTGTGTCATTTTTTTTGCTTTCAGATAGCGGTGGGTGTGCTCGCAAACGTGCTGCCATGTCTGTTACAATAACATCTGTGAAGAGAGTTCAGAGTTCTCCAAACCTATTGACTGCAGGTATAATATCACTAACTCACAGAATGTCTCCATCAAATGGCTTAATCTGACCTTTCTCTCTTTCCAGAGTTATCTCCTTGGGATGATGAAAGCAGCTGTAAATACCTTTCTAATGCCCGACCAGTTCTTATTTTTCTTGTCTCAAGAATAGCTCCTATCCCTTCTGTTTTTGTTCTAAAAATAAAAAGCCAAAGGAAACTGATATCTTATTTTTTAAAAAAAATTGTTTAAAAACTAATTAAAAACAACAGTCACCTGCCAAAAATGTGTTGAGGAACAACTACAAGTGTTAATAACTATTTAAGTGGGTTTTTTTTTCTCTCATGAGTTAAAGTAATAGAATATTTAGTTAAGATAACTCACAGGTGCTTTAGTTATTTTTTACCTAAAAACTGCTGGGGGTGCGGTGGGGATCCACGGGGTGGGGGGGCGGTGGGCAGGAAAAGGGATTTGCAGGAAAGTGAATTGTTACTAATTCACTTCTTCGCCAAGGGTCACACAAAAAAATGGGATCAAATATTAGTTTTGAAAAAGACCTTAAAACATCCTTTAATCCAATCTGCAAAGACCCTTCTAATGTAAATTTTTAAACATCTTGGTGCAGTAAGGAGGAGCGCCTACCCACAGATATAGATAAATCTGTAGAAAGTAGTTGGGAGTGTGACCTTTCGGCCTCCCCTGAGGTGTGTCTCTTTATGACTTACGCGGGTGGGTACAGTCTGCACTGAGAGGGGTTACTGATACGAAGGATCAAAGTGAACCCAGCAACCCCCACGACCTGAAATAGGGCCATACCTTCTCAGGACTGATTGGTTGGTTGGCTGGTTGGTTAGTGGGTGTTTCCTTGTTTTTTCTTTATAATATTTGTGGGTTTGGGAAAAGTTGGAGAGAGATAGTGTTTAAATAATTTTAATCCACACTGTGCCTAGCAGTGTCTTTTACACACATAAATTTAGTAGTTAATTAATACTGAAGATGTCCGTGGTTAAAGCCCCTCTGATCCCAGGCAGCCATGTTGAGGAAAAAAAACAGGCTTTCACGTGTAGAATTCCCACCCTTACTCACCACCACCTCCAGTTCACAAATGTTTAAATACCAGTCCAGGTGGTTCCATAATACAGTGCATTTTAAAAAACAAATTACATTGCAATGTATATAGTATGATATCATTTTGGTTAAGAAAAATCTCTCTATATGTTTGCTCGTGTGTGTATGCCCATGGGAAAATGTTAGAAAAACCCAAATGTGGATACCTGAGGGAAATGGGAATGAAGGAAAAAGAAAACAAACAAACAAACAAACAAATTAAATAAATAAATAGAATTCTAGGGCCAGCAGGTAACTGGAATGCCAAACCACAAATATCATTGACATTTCAACCAAGTAAAATTCTGTCCCAAGCTACTCGGATGTGGACCCCTTTGCGTGTCCCATTTGGGAACGTGGCACTATTTCAACAATGCCAACTTGTTATGATTTACAAAAGTAACCACGAAAGAAATAACAGTAGATTGAAATAGAGATTGCCATTCTGGAGAGTCAAAACTAGAATATCAATTTCATTTCACTCAACGTAGTGGAAAAATTTTAATGCTTCAGAATCAAAATAACAGAAAAGATTTAATACTTTAGGAACATGAAATAATCTTCAGTAGTAAAAGTAGGTAATGGCTCTGGACGATTTAAACTTTTGTATCACTAGGAGTAAGATCTCTAGAGAATGAAGTCCCTTGAACTTTGTTTTTTGTTACATGAGAAATGGATCTCTTTTGTATTAATTAGACACATGAGATATGATTCCCTTTGCAAGGAAGTTTTAATTACATTTTGAAGAAAATTATATTTTCTGCCTCTCTATGTCTCTTATAGTATGTGGTAGCCTTCACAAGAACTTATTTGACACAGTGTCTTTTTGTGACTCAAAGGGGAATTAGTAAATATTTACTACATCAGATATTATTAAAATAAAACAGCCTTTAAGCAAAAGACCACCTCCATAAAGTATTCTCAGCTTCCCTCCATCCACCCTCGGGTCACAAAGTCAGGACGAGTCATTAATTATTTATCCCTTAAATCAGTGTGTCTTGGTCAACCCTTTAGAAGTAAAGTCCCAATGGACAATTGATAGCATACCCTGATGTTTTCAACCTAAGCTAGAACCACAGCACTGACTATGGTGACCATTTTATTTTACCAAAACGCTTGTCAGTCTAAAATAACACTGACTTGGTGGTACACTATGGTGACTGAGTCCGGCCAACACCACCCATGTGTTTTATACATGGCCTTGGGAAATGTCATCTGTTTGTACCTCAAGTCTCCTTTCTTTAAAAAAGAATTATTTGTCATTTTCCTACCTCTCTGAGAACTTAATCATTTCCCAAACTCACAATGATTTGTCATAATTCAATAAGAGTAAATGAAGAAAATAAGTAAAATGGCTTATCACAGTACTTAGAAACACAGTAGGCATTCAATTAGTTGAATTAATATGTTTAATTAATTTTTGCAAAGCATTTGAGCTCTCTAAAGAAAGGAGCTATAAGCATTAAAATCATCATAATTTTCAAGAAAAGTATAGTTTATAATGTGTAATATAGCATACCAGTTAAGAGGAATTTAAATAAAACCTCAGAGTAAAGATTACAATGTAACAGGTACCACCAACACAGCTACGTAAAAATCATAATGTTGGAATCATAAAATCAGAAAGGACCTTTGAAGGCCTCCAGCCCCATAACCAAACTGAGTCAGGAATACTTTGCCAACTTCTGTGACAAGTGTCCACCACCTTCTGTCTGGACATGGGGTACATTCATTGTATCAGTGAAGACTGCTTATAGTTTTTAATTCACACAGACCGTATTTATATTCACATGCAAAATAGCCAGGTAATGATAAATCTGTCCCATTTATTCACTCTTGAATTTTCAGAGAAGCAAAGACCATCAACTAAGGAACCAGAAATCAAAGCCTCTGATCCCTAGAATTTTCACGAGTGAACAAGATACTGGGCAAAACCATTTTCACCATGAATCTGCCAAATTGTTTACATGCTAGATCTGTTTTGTTTTGTTTTGAACCAATGTTCTCTTTACTTGACATGGTTCCAGGATGCTTTCTGTCACCTGCTCCAAGCCACACTTGTCCTCCCTTCCTAAGCTTTCTTGGCAGAAATTAAATAAAAGCAAACTTATGGTGAATAGTATTCATGTGGGATGGTATTTATCTTTCAGGGCCTCTGAAGAATTATAATAAAATAGCAAATCAGGATTGGGCATATTAAATATATAAATATGTTATATATATTTATATATTATGTTCATGTATGTAAAAAATTATATAAAAATATAAATGTATTGGTTAAATTGAATATAACTGGTTTATGTTAAAAAAACAAACATTGTACATGTGAGTATCCTTAAGAGACCACCCACTTAAAGGTAGACTTTAATCATTAAGACTCATTAAAATACAGGTTCATCCTGAAGTTTTCATCCACGGCTGTTTTTTTCCCTTTTCCTTGCTCATAATTCTACACACTTGTGTCTACCATGTTAATCAGGGCTCAGTAGAGTTCATCTATATTATTATTTTTTAATTTGAGTATAGTTTTAAAATCTCACCATTCTTAACATCTCATATTTCCTGTAGCAGAGGTACAGTTTCATTTGGAAATCCTGGGCCCAGTACAGGGGAAGAGAGAAGCTTCTGGTGGAGCTCAGAGTGACTGTCCTCTGAGTCTCACACTTAATGTTTACCCCACTGTAGTTTTCATAACCTCCTGTATGGTCACCAGTAAGAAGAAACAGAACTGCTCCCTCTACAAACTGTCAATTAAAGGGAGTTTATTTCAAGTGTCCTTCAAATCTGCTCAGTCAATATACCTTCCCCCACTACACCACATCTGTACCCCTTCCGTGCCCAGCACATACCCACACATCCTTCTTTATGAGCTCAGTTTATCAAACTAAGAGTGAAATAAACTCCCTATTCTTAAGCAAATAATTATAATATAAACAACAATAATTCATGCTTCTTCCCTTTTCAGTGCCTTTCCCTCAAGTTCCAAAACGTGTTCCTTGTCCACAAACAGTATGTGATGTGCAGGTGGTCAGGACATTGCTCTCCCTGAGTGCTCCAAAGCAGAATTCTAACGATTGTATTGCTACCCTTTTTGTCTTCTTTATGAAGTCCTCATCATTATTTAAGTGATAGAGAATTTCCATCACTTCTGCTTCCATTAAGTCTTAGAAATAGAGTCCAGTAAGCATTCCACATATAACTCTTGAAAGCTATTTTTTACTTTGCAGTACCCATTTTATTACTCTGATTTTGAATTCATTGGAGATAAATTTTGCTAAATTAGCTATTATCATAAAGGATGAAGATTTAATAGTGTTCTCTAACTCACCTGAGCTGGAGACATGGTAATGTACTCTGTGCTAATTCACATTTCTTTTTCTTCCTTTGATTTGGAAAGAATATCAAATATTTAATCTAAAAATCAAACTCACTTCTCAACTCATTTTTATCACTCCAAATTCATGTGTTTAGATTTCAAAATATTAGAAAGAAAAGGACGAGTTCTTTCACATGTAACATGCCTGTTCTATTAGGCATTGAAATACAGCAGTTTAATCATGGTCTCAGGGATCCTGCGGGAGGAGTTCAGGATTGGACAGATCAGGCTGGATGACCCCTCAAGGTCCTTTCTAAATGTCAGGCTTTATATTTCTATGTGAGGTTGACCATGTGGTAATAAAGAGCCAAACAATGCCAACAGATTACCTCAAGTGTGCATAAGTTACGGAAGATTCTTGAATGTATAATTTGAATAAAACCGACAGTCATTGAGCCTCTTTCCAACTGCATTATCAAAAGCAATTTATTAATACCGGAACTCATTTTCCACAGCTTGCTGCAAGACAATGGAATCTACTGTAATAACTCTTTCACATTTAAATACAAAATGACTTTAAAATGGTGGTAAGGAGAAAATTCAAAGTCTAGAGTAGAGAAAGATTTGAAAATATCACATAATATGGTAGAAACAAGTACACTTTCTTAAAGTACAAAAATGAATTGCAAGCTACAAAAAATCGATTGCTATCCAACACAGGAGTTGAGTATGGTCAGTAACACCGGAGCACTAGAAACTAGGTACCTGGTGTTGATTTAATGCTTGGAGAAAATCATCACTGCTTACAAACTAGATTCCTTTTGATCCTTTAATTTGGTATTTTAAAATTCACACATCCAGCTTGGGCAAAAACAAGATAGAATTACATGGTTGCAATATTATTGAAGGAAAGAAATCAGTGTTTGTCATATGTGTCAATTACATAATTACTAATGAATGATACTTTCATGGAAATAAAAATAAATGCACAAACCTCCCATTTAGTACATTTGAGTTACTTTGAGTCTTAGAAATGAGATAATGTTTGCCAAAAAAAAAAAAAAAGTGGATGTGGCTTTTTGCCAAATGGTCTTTACTGGATTATTCATTTCTTTTTCCCTAGTGTTAATGTCAACATTTCTTTTTCTTTTAGGGCGTGATTCTCAGTCACCAGACTCAGGTACAGAAAAGCTACTCTGAATAATCATTACATTTGTTGTGAGTTTTTCTTAACATATCCGTAGTCACATTGTTGACCTCATAGTAAACTTCAATTGCATATACGGTTATGTCTATTAAACTAAATTTAATTTCTAAAACGAAATCTTCAATTTTGGAAATAGAAATAAATTTTACCCCCTAAAAAATGTTAAAAGTGAACATAGATATTTTTGTATCCAATTTGTTTTCTCCTAATGAAAGCTTGGAGATCTTACAATGATCGAAATCAAGAGACACTGAACGGAGATGCTACATATTCCTCTCTTGCAGCAAAAGGTTTTAGAAGCGTTCGACCAAACTTACAAGAAAAAAAGTCACCAACTCAGGTAATCCTGCACACTCTTGTCTATGGTGTTATGTGAAAGCGTGGTTATTAGACTGTGCCCTAGACCTTTTCTCTAGTAACAGGTGCATATTTGGATACATATTTTATCTTTAATGTTTTGGTTTTGTATTTGTACTCCTTGCCAACCTTATATTTACAACATAGAAGACATATTTTAAGTTTCAAAACAGGTTTTGTGGGTTTTTATTTTTAATTCAGCTCATAAAAGTAGATCACTTTCTAACATACTGTTAACCATATTTTCTAATTTTTATAAAGCTGTTAGCTGATGTTTGGATTTCAAAGTTATGAGGTCAGCAATATGTTATTTATTCAATAAACATAAGTCACACAACTTTATTATATGAACTAAAAGAACACTGTGTTGGAGATACTAGCAAAATGGTGTCCCAAAGGTGGACAATGTTATTGAAACAATGTGACTAAATATACAGTACCTATACCTCAAAGTCGAAAACTATGCATATACCTCAAGGTCTAAAAATATGCCAAGAGAACAGGTGTTCAGTTTTAACATAATTTTCAAGAATATAGATGGAAACAAACTTCATAATGTATTCTCTCTAAAGACTCTTTTCTCCCAGAAGGCAACTATTGATAATAAGTTAAAATGCATTCTAAACGAATGAAAATGATCATTTAATCTAGCCAATAAAATGTGTAGAATAAGAAAAAGGTATGCCATTGCTTTACTTTCTTTAAGGGTAAGATTGACACTAGTTTCTACAATGACTAACTTTGACTTTCTCTCTGTTTTTCCTTCAACTTTATTTCTCTCTCCGGATGTTTTTTGGCAATCCAGGCACCCTTTCCACCACCCAGAAAAGAGAGCTCTTGTAGCTCTTTGATAACCAATCACCAAAAGTGTGACATTTTAGACCAATTAGTAACTAACACACAAACTCCCTCCTGTACAAAGTATTCTACTAACAAAAAACCTCTTGAGGGAACTATGTATTCTCATGACGACTCCAACCAGACAATTGTATATTCAGAAGAATCTAACACAACTGTGTCGTATACACAAAAAATCACTAACCCGCTACCAACAGCTGCCAGCACTGGTCCCCTACCAAATGCTGATATCAGCACTCCATTTCTACAAGAAGACTACACACAAGATTCTCAGACTCGAAGAATTTCTACATTGAAACTAATCCATAACCAGGATCTAGGAAGCAGTGTCCACTTTAATACTCCACAGTTCTCCCAGTCTGTGGAAGTCCCTTCATTTCTCAAAAGGCCTTGCTCACCACCCCCTAACCCAGTGCCTGAGATACACACAGCATCTCTTTCCATTCAGATAAATCCCGTTTCAGGACATGATCCTGAAAGCTACAAACAGCTACCTGAGCTTTCTCCAGAGACTACAAAGATACCTCTTCAGCAAGAGAGACAAAAATCTGCAGTTGCTGTGGCCTCCCAGTCCTCAGACTGCCGGGTGGTACATTACACTTTCCAATCTCTTCTTACAGGTGTTCCATAGAGACCCTAACTCTTTTGGTTTGGGCTTCTTATATAACCTAATGCTTTGTAGCTTCAAGCAGGAAGGGAAAGGAGAAAGAAACCATCTTCCTCATCTTTCTAGTTAAAACCCCACTAAATTCATCAATAAATTTCTAGGTACCTTTTATTTAAAAAACAGTAATATATATCAATATATGTTGCATATGTATGTAGACATGTATACGCACAGATCTTTTATCCAGAAATCATGTTCCAAAATTTCTTCCTTCTAAGTATTTATTAGAAGTCAATGATGGATTGGTTACCCTTGACGCTGCAAACCACTTCAGTGCTCAAAGTACTTTTAAGTTTTACAGAAATATCTTTATGACAGACCTCTGAGTACCTAGATTTACTTTATTTACATATACCAAGTTCTCAAAATAATTAGCAATTATAATTTATTTTGGCAGGAAACATGCATCTTAATTCAACCAGTGCTTATTTATTCCTTTGTAGCTCAGTATTCATTTTCACTGAACCTTGATCAATTCCCACTTCTTAAAATTTATTTCAGAAAGTATATTCATCAATCCTCAATTACCCAAAGAGTTAGGAAGTACATTTTTATTTCCATGTAAGTAAAATTCTCTCATAGTGTCATTCTGCTGACATTTATTCATCATTTAGAAGAGAAATGTGTTATTCTTGATTTCTGCACAATGGCATAGTGTTAAGAGCATGAGCTTTAAGGATAAACAGATTTCAGTTCAACTCCATCCCTTACCCCACCTGTAAAGCAGAAACCTTAAGCTTAGATGATTAAAAAGACAAATGGGTGATTTCATACCACTGCTAAAATATCTCCATCAGCTAACTGTGATAGGCAAAATTAATTCACTAGAGAAAGTTCTTTGAATTAAGGTAATATCTTTGGAAAGCCCCCTATAAAATATGACAACAATAATTATAATAGCAACTAACAAATACTAAGAGTTTATTATATGCAGGTACTGTTACAACTTGTGTGTATTTATTAATAACTTCCACAATCTCATGAGGTAGGGAGCAAAATCAAGACACTACAGACAGGGTTCTGCCAGTGTCAGAGAGCAAACTTGTGTCTGGGGACACCTGCCTCCAAGAAGCAAGGGTAGGAGAAGTCATAGCAACACCATTACATTAACAACTTGGGTTACTCATCTAGCATAGTTTGGTTCTTCTAAACGTTTTATTATGCTTGAAAACTCAAGTTTGATAATTTCCTTTTTCCGTGGGTTTTGTCACTATCCATGCTGACCAGTGATAGTTGATTTCATTACATAATCCCCAGAGAATCAGATGATCCACAAATTAAGATTTGAGACCCTCTCACTTTTTTTTCACTCAACAATTATTTATTAGTCATCTACTATGTGTCAAGTCTATTCTAGTCACAGAGCTGTATTTGAAACCATTGATAAAGTCTTGCCAGGGAGAGGCAAATATTAACAGAAACTTACATAAGTAGATTACCTACATCGGAAGGAGATTATGTTAATAACTAAGCGCTGCTTAGCAGGGATCTGGGGAGGAGAATCCATGTTACTTAGGATAGTCAAAGAATCTTCACTGAGAAGACAGAATAGTTTGAAGGGGAAAGCCCGTTCCTGCAAGAGAGAGCATCTAGTGTCAAGGCTTTCGAGCTGAAGTATGTTGGGGGTGCTTGAGGACCAGAAGGAAGCCAGTGGAAAGAAGAGGGAGAAAATAAGGTGTAGAGTAAGCAGAGGTGAAGTCAGAGGTCACAGAGGCCAGATGACAGTAATCCCTGCAAGCCACTGCAGGAATTTAACTTGTATTCTCAATAAAAAATGGAGGTCATTGGGAGATTTGGAACTGCCACAATTGTTCTTGGACTCATCATCTAATTTAATCACTCCAGCAGCTCGGTTGAGAGCAAACTATAGTGGGGCAAGAAGGAGAGTAGGCAAGCCAGTCAGGTGGCTCTTGCAACTAAGTGACAAATGATGGTGGCTCAAAACAGGGTGGAAGCAATGGAGGTGGTGAGAAATCAGATTCTGGATGTACTTTGAAAATGGAGAAAAGAGGACTTGCTGACAGACTGTCTGTGTGTGGGACATGAGAGCAAGAAAAGAGTTGACATTGACTCCAAGGTTTTGAGTCATCACAACTGAGAAGGATGGAATTTGCCATCCTTTGTCCATGGAGACATGGAGATAACTGTGGGTAGAGCAAGTTTGAAGAAAGTTCAGAGGTTCCATTTGGGACATGGTAAGTTTGAGGTGTCTATTAGATGTCCCCATGGAGAGGTCAAGTATGAAGTCCGAAATAGGAGTCTGACATTCTGGTGAAGGGTCTAGGTTGGAGATATAAACCATCAGGCTCTGGATGGTTTTTGTAGGCAAGAGACTGAATGAGATCACCAGGGCATGAGTACAGAGAAAACAGGAAGCCCGAGGACTGAGCCCAAGAACATCGTCACAGCAAGAAGAGGAACCAGCAAAGGAAACTAGAAGGAGCATTTGCTAAGAGAGGAAGAAACCCAGGACTATGTGGTGTCCTAAAAGCCCAGCCAGGAAAGTGTACGGAGAAGGGAACTGTTAACTGCACAAATACTGCTGATAGGGCAAGTGTATGATGAGCCCTGCTAACTCCCCCTTGACTTAGTGGTGGGGACAGAGACTTTCTCAGATGGGGCTTAAGAGAGAGTAGGAGAAGAGCAATTGGAAAGACATCCTTTCAAGGTGTGAGTATTGTAAGCCCTTTCATCTAGTTATTCCCCATCCCTAAGTCTCAGTCCTTCATGTAAAATGGGGATAATAATGGCATTCATCTCATAGCACTGCAGTGAGGTTTGAATAAGATACTGTGTATAAGGAATTCAGTGTAGTGTCTGCTACATAGTAATCCCTCCATATGTAGTAGTTGTTTTTGTTTTTGTTTTTTAAATAATATCCTTTTTTGGGGCACCCAGATGGCTCAGTTGGTTAAGTGTCCTACTCTTGGTTTCGGCTCAGGTCATCATTTCAGGTTCCTGAGACTGAACCTCGGATCAACTCAGTTCTCAGTGTGGAGTCTCCTTGAGATTTTCTCTCTCTCCCTCTACCTCTCCCCCAGCCCCGCCCCTGCTCACGCTCACTTGCTTTCTTGCTCAAATAAATAAATAAATAAAATCTTTAAAAAATATAAAAAATAAATTAATATCCCTTTTCCAAACTCTGCATCTGATTGGGAAAAGGAAATATATTGTTTCCAACAATACATTTTTATTTCACCTGATATGTAATTTGTTCCAAATGTCTTCTACAGCCCTTTTTCAGAAGGTGGCCTAACATTGTTGCAGTTTTGACTTTTTTTTTTTTTTGGTACCAAGACTATTTAACATGATATCTACCCTTTTAACAAATTTTGAAGTGTCCAATACTGTATCATTAAGTACAGTCACAGTGTGGTAGGGCAGATCTCCAGAACATATTCATCTGGCATAACTGAAACTTTACACCTGTTGAACAGCAGCCATTCTTCCCACCCCCA